TGGGTGGGAACGCGGTCGAAGACGCGTCTGCTGTGGTTCCCGCCGAGAGGTGGTGTGTTCCAGTGGCCCTTTTGCAGCCGCAACTATTTGGACGTGTGTGTGTGCGCGCCCGGGGAGGTCGTTCAAAGGCCCTCAGACCAGCAATTCGGAAAGTGCTCCCTGCGGAGTTGCTTGACGTTGAGGCAGTGAGCAGTTAACGAAGAAGTCGGATACTCACGAATATAACGACACAACGCATACTACTAACAAAATACAAGCAGTATTAACAAACACTTGTTTTTTAGCAAACCGAATCAGAGCGTCGACATCAGGAGACACTTCGCGGCATCCGAAGGAAGGCCTCAGAAATGTCCACACCGACGCATGTTCCGGCCGATGAGATGACTGAGGCTGCTACAGGCGCCTCTGGCATCACTGAGTCTGCAGTCGCCTCTACACCCACGCAGAAATGGTGTCGTGTTTGCAAAGTCCTGGTAAGTGGAAGCTGCACAACTGTGAATTCGTTTCCTCTTAATAGCTAAACAGACCCACCGTTTTACTTTTGCTTTGCACTACCTCCTAGATGGATCGGGGGGTGGCGCCAAAGTACCACTTCCAGACAAAGCGTCATCGACGAGCTCTTCTCGATTCCTTGCCCAGCGCCCAACGCATTAATTACAAGATGGTGAGTTTTAATGTCGCCACTATTCTTGACTCACTTGATTTGGCGGCAATCTGTGGCCGGTCTAAGAAAACGCTACACTATTTTATTTTGGTGCATTTCATCGCTTAGGCAAAACTGACGTACGTACTTACGAGCGGGTGGGTGGGATTTGTAAATTTGCAGAAAAAAAGTTCCATTAATTTAGATACTAGCATCAGTCTAGGATCAGTGTTTTTTCTGAGAAGTAGAAAACTTTGATCTCGTTAATCGTCTTTATCCACATAGTAATCCGTGCTTCCGGTGAACCTTTTGCGACTCGCCTCTGTTGTGACGGTGGCACTTTGTAGTGTCACCGTCAAATTACGTCTGTTGGAATCCCCAAGGAAGAACACAATGAGAAGGGCGTAACTTTGGAATCCA